AATGCTTTCAGACCATACTTCTTGCAGAGTCCCAAGTGGATGCATCTTAGGACCTCACTGTGTCTTCTATTATAGTCGTGATGTAACATTTTTCGGCACTGCGTTTCTAGATGGTCCACCATCTTCACACGTTCCTGCCTAATCTTTAAATAGGGTGCAATAATTGACAAGTACGTGTTATGAGCTTTCTCCTGCTTCATATCACCGTTCTCCGGGTAGATGTGAGAGTGGTATTTACAAGAACATCATGAAGTTATGGCGGAGCACAATCCAACGCGATAATCAAGAAGAGAGCTAAGAAAAATCACATCTGACATCATATATATATATATATATATATAATCAAGTTATGTTGATTTATTTAAAATAATTGAATGCTTGAAGCAACAGTTGAAAACATGCGCCTTTGATGGAAACACCAAAATAGATTGATTGCAAAAGCAATTTAGTAAAGAAAGGAAGAAACGAATGACTGTTTGAATTGTGTTCATTTCGTTCGACATCGACTAGAATGTTTGGATGAATGAATGAATGAATGAATAAATAGGTGATGGATTAATGAGGTGTTATTAATAATATCAATTGAAAATAGCGATGGTTGAAAATAATAATCCATTAAAGCCATCGTTAATATTATTTATAATAATGATCATTGTCGTCTTTCTTTCAGCAGTGATTTCCGAAAGAAGTGGAAATAGTGTTGGCAGTGGTAAACATATACGTTTTACTCGTTTATTTTATACTTTTGCTTTCATTAGCAATTGCATTTTTCGATTTGCGCATGTGTTATCAGTTGTAATGCTATTTCTTACGTCAAAACTTGCTGTTCATTATTTTAACACTTGTGTGTTTATCTTTAATTGATATTTTTTAAATTATTATTTTTGCATTATTTATTTTCAGCATTCTTAGCAATATTTTTTAATATTTTGATTATCACTCTATAAATAAATTAGTTAATTAGCCAATTATAAAAAATTAAATTTATGCAAACAGTCAACTTTAAGATACTCAACAACTATAGTGCGCAAAACAATTTAAATTATTATTATTTGTATTATCATTATCTGTTGGCAAGTTTTCCATTTTTAGTTTCTGATTATTTTTTATTTAACTGTGCAACGAAAATAAAATACTGTTTAAAAATTTTATAATTTGTTAAAAACTGATAGACATATTTTCTTAATAGTGAAATAAAAGTTTTGTAAAAATTTTGTTGATTTCTTTCAGGACAGTTCTTGCAAAAATTTGTAATGCTACTATTATTATGGACTGTATCAGTAGCTACAGATACGATAGCATTTCCCTGTATTAAATTTAGAATCACATGTAAAAACTCAACTTCATTTACTCTTTGGTTTCTTTTACTGCCTATTTTGCATGAAGTAATTGTGTTGGCAAATAGTCAAGAACAAGCATTTGACTGTGATATTTTGGATGCAAAATGTCGCGAACGTTATCGTCAGACAATTCATACTACATCAATTAAAAGTAAAGCTTCTCGATGCTCTCAACAAGACATCTGGTTGATACCTGGCAAAGCTGACGCTAGTTGCTGTAAGTTTCAGTTTTTAATTCAAACATTTAGGCAATATCGATCGCTTTTTGTTTTTATTCAATTACCATTCTATTTTTTTTGAAAAGTTTTTGAATTTTAAGAAGATGTACATATTTACAAGGATGAACAAAGATAAAGTCTATTTTTCAAACTTAACATAAATTCTCCATTTAGCCGCTTAAAGAAAAATTTACAGATATACCCACTATGATGAAAAAGTAGTAGTTTTATATGTTAAGCTCAGATTGAACCTATATCTCCTGAAGAGAGATATAAGTTCAACTTGAGCTTAACATATAAAAGTTTCTGCTAAAAAGCTGCACTCTTTAATGCTTCCTTCCTTGCTGAGTCATTTTCTGGCCTATGAATTTCGTGATCAAAATCATTTGATTATAAAAGTACTTAATAATTAAAATTTAAGCAGCTGCTTTTTAAATCACCAATTTTTAATAGCAGTTGTACAGTTATAATTATTTCACATATTCAATCTGAAAAAGCAGTTAAAACAGGAATTAGAGCATTAATTTGATATTTTATAATGAATATTTTGTGTAAGTTGGAAATCCAGTTTTGATGAGATAACAAGCCGGAACAACGAGAAAATGAAAAGTGCGCGTTTTTCATTATTTGATTTGAAATCCTATTTGGATACTAACGGATCATTTTGCAACTGGTTTATTTTCAATGCATTTAGAATCTAACCTTTTGTTTTCGCTCTTTTTATCATACTTTGAATTCAAACATGAAAATATATCTTAATTTATTTTCTTTGATATCTGATATAAAAGTTCATTTAAATGTTTCAGTAATAAGAAAAAAATAAACAAGAAAAGTTTGGAACCGTATTATTAACTATGCTAGTAAAATAAGAATATGAATATATTAATTGTGCAATGAGTGTCATTTAGCAAAATCATAATGAATTAAAATTATTGTCAAAAGTATAGATACTGTTACCTATGCAAAATTAACAAAAAAAAATCAAAAAGAGGGAAGGAAACATTGTCACAACAATAAAGCTTAGTCAGCAAAAACCTCAGCTACTAGCTTGAATCTTTATTATACTATTTAAACTAAGCATTTAAAAAAAGCAAGTAGCACTCATTTAAGCAATTTTGAATTTGCTAATGCTTTTTTAATCTTTCATTGAGCTAAGAGAGACTAAATAAATTTCTATGAAATGAAGTGGTATCATTAATTTTTGTTAGTAACTGACGTTAAAAAACTGTGCTTGCAATTAATACAAACATTATCATTAATTGATAATAAGAAAAGTATGCTCAAATGATGACTGTCATCAATTATTATACATATTATTATGCTGGATCAGCAAAATGAAGAAGCTGTTGCTGTCAGGGTTAAATTA